TTTGTGCCAAGTGTAAAGTTTGGTGAGGGGGGATTTTGTTGGTCTATGTGTTATAGAAGACACTGGTAGTGATGTGGCAGAATTCAGGCCTTTACTTGTGTGGCTTAAGTTACAAAACATACAGAGCACATTTCAGCATGGACAGTAAACAGACTCATTACTTCCTGAAGAGATGAATAGAGAGAGTGAGGAACAAACAAGTTTTCAGATATACACAACTAGTAACCTTTAGTGTATAGTGCCCATCTACTGGTCAAGTGATATTAACATACAATACTTATATATAGTACATTATAGTACATGCTGTTGCATTCCCAACACCCCTTCTCAACGGCATGTGCATAATTATATGACATTTAGTCTCTTTTGTAGAAAACAATAACGTTCCCTTATCTGGCAAAGGTTTGGTGAGTGCGTCGGCAGTCATCTCCTCTGATGGGCAGTACTGGATGTCGATAACCCCTTGTTCTTGCATGTCTCTGAGCAGATGATATCTTACATCAATGTACTTGGTTCTTGGGTTAATCTTCTCAGAGTGTGTAAGCTTTATGCATCCCTGATTGTCTTCAAAGATGGGTGTGGGTTGTGACATATTTCAGTCCCATGTCTAGTAGAAGTTGACGAATCCAAACGGCTTCTTGACATGCATGTGCTGCTGCTATGTATTCCGCTTCAGTTGAAGAGAGTGCAACAGTCACTTGTTTCCGACTAGACCAGCTTATGGTTCCTTGTCCATACTGGAAGATGTAACCACTTGTAGATTTGCGGTCAGTGGTGTCCTCCAGCCCAATCGGCGTCCACATATCCAATCAGTTTTTGGGTTTGACGATGCTGGAAGTCGCAGCTTCATCCGATTTGTTCCCTTTAGGTATTGCATTACCCCTCTTTACTGCATTCCAGTCGCGTTGACACGGCGTTGCGACTTTCCTGCAAAGTATTCCCACTGCTAGGGCGATGTCTGGTCTTGTCACGGTGGCGATGTATAGCAATTTTCCGATTGCCCTGCGGTAATAATCATTGTTAGGTAACAAGTTTTCGGTTCCATTGTTTTTTAGATAATCTGGTTCCATTGGTGTTTTTTTTGCTTCCTTTGCATCTTGCATGTGAAACTGTTCTAACATTTCTGTAATTTTATGACTTTGGTTAAGAAGATAGCTTCCATCCTCTTCCCGCTCTATTTGAATTCCTAGATAGTGAGTAATGTTCCCCAACTCTTTAATTTCAAAATTTTGTTTCAGTTTGTGAACTATTTGGTCATAGTCCCCTTCTTGTTCAAAACACGTCAAGATGTCATCGACGTATATTAGGATATATGTCCATTTGTTCTCTTGATTCTTTGAATACAGACATGGATCTGCTTTACTTTTTGAGAACCCTTCTTTTCTGAGTATTTCGTTCACTTTTTCATTCCATGCTCTCGCCGCTTGCTTGAGCCCGTAGATGCTCTTTTGCAGTTTGCATACAAGGTTCTTTTCTTTCTCAAAGCCTGGTGGCTGTTCCATGTACAGATCCTCCTTGATGTCTCCATACAAAAAGGCAGTTTTGACATCTAGATGCTTTACTTGCATTCCCTTTCCAGCAGCAATACTAAGGAGTGTTCTTATAGTAGAATGTTTTCACAACTGGAGCAAATGTCTCATCGTAATCTTCTCCAAATTTCTGGGAGTATCCCTTGGCAACTAATCTTGCTTTGTATTCTGTCAGGAATGGACTGGCCAGCAATAGTGGGACTCACCTGCCTTGTGAGCTGCAGTACCAGGGCTGGCCAGCGGGTGCTCCCAGCAATCAGAGACTCAACCTTGCAGCCAGTCAAACACCTGGAAACTAATTATACTGGTGTATTTAAGGGACATTCAGACCTGCAGACTCTGCCTTGGTGTTGTGTTTCTCCTGGGCCCTGTTTCCTGTTCCTGTCTGATTCTCTGCTGACCCTGCTCTGATCCCTGGCTTGTCTGACCATTCTTCTGCTCCTGATCCCTGGCTTGTCTGACCATTCTCCTCTGCGTGACCCTCTGTACCTCGCTGTCTGCTACCTGCTGAACCTGGCTTGTGACCCCGACCATTCTCCGCTTGCTCCCCCTGTACCTACCTGCCCGATTGATATTGACCTGCCTGCCTGACGACGCTTGCATTGTATGTACTGTTATCTGTGGGTGGTTTTGGTTTGGTTTGTTTGCACTGTGTTATGTTTTAGTATTGCACTGCGTTTATGTTTGTATTGTTAGTGTTAATAAATTATATTGTTTATAACATATCTGAAGCCTGCGTTTCCCTGCGTCAGTCACACACCTCTGGTCATACCTGGGAGCCCTGACATTACACCAAGGCCCATCCTGACCAGAAGTGGCTGCACAGGGAAGCCATCTTGGTTTGTTGATGGGAAGGATGGATCTGGATGAGGTTGTGTATTTATATCTGCTAGTGTTTGAATGACAGGGAGTATGCTTATCAAACTCTGAAGGGGTATCCCAGGGATGAACTGCTAGAATGTATACGGCTCGCTCATGTTCTAGTAGATCAGGGCACAGAGTTCTCTGAGGTGCAGCCATTGATTGAGGTTTGTGCTGAGTTGGTTTCATCTGGTACCCCCGAATGCAGGGATGAATTTTTGCCACCATTTAGTAAAGACCAGGTAGAGTCCCTGGTATATGGTTATTAGAGGATGATGTGGGTTACTTTCTGGAGCGTTATTCCACATGTTCACCACAGGTACTAAGAGATTGTATAAACGCAGTGCAGTCTTTGGTCAGACAGGCTTTGTGTAAGCTCAGCTTTGTTCAACCCATACTGCAGACATGGACAGATTTGTTACACCCACCAGCCTCAGTCAGCTTACAAAGACCCAGTCCTGCTTCTAATCTATCTCCTCAAAGCTCTACTCCTGTATTCCCAACAGCTCCTCCAGTTACAGCCCAGTATACTTGGCTATCTACCGCATGTCAGTACCCTGTTCCCACTCGCTGCACCTATCCTGCCTTTAACCCTGTAAAGAAGCCCTCTGTAGCGACTGTTCCTTCCCCTGTTCCATCCTCCAGCTCTTCTCTGTCTCCAGCTGCTCCATTCGTTTGCAGACCTGCGTTTACTTGCAGTGCCCCAGTAGTTAAAACCAGAAAAAAGTGAAAATTCTTTCCAACCAGTACCATCCTGCCAGTATCCAAACCGGTGAGCCTACTGTCTGAGAACCTGCCTTCCGTGGTTCAGCTTGATGCCTCTCTTCAGCCTGATGCCTCTACTCAGCCTGATGCCTGTACTCAGCCTGATGCCTGTACTCAGCCTATGCCTGTACTCAGCCTGATGCCTGTACTCAGCCTGAAGCCTCTACTCAGCCTGAAGCCTCTACTACTCAGCCTGAAGCCTCTACTCAGCCTGAACCTCTACTCAGCCGGATGCCTCTCTTCAGCCGGATGCCTCTTTTCAGCCTGATGCCTCTCTTCAGCCGATGCCTCTCTTCAGCCTGATGCCTCTCTTCAGCCTGATGCCTCTCTTCAGCCTGATGCCTCTCTTCAGCCGGATGCCTCTCTTCAGCCTGATGCCTCTACTCAGCCTGATGCCTCTACTCAGCCGGATGCCTCTACTCAGCCGGATGCCTCTACTCAGCGGATGCCTCTACTCAGCCATGCCTCTACTCAGCCGGATGCTTCTACCCAGCATAATGAACTGATCCAGCCTGATGATCCTATTAGGCCAGTTGACTCGATGCCCGCTGTTCCGCCAGTTGACTTGGTGCCCGCAGTCTTGCCAGACGACTCGGTGCCCGCAGTCTTGCCAGACGACTCGGTGCCCGCAGTCTTGCCAGACGACTCGGTGCCCGCAGTCTTGCCAAACGACTCGGTGCCCGCAGTCTTGCCAGACGACTCGGTGCCCGCAGTTCCGCCAGTTGACTTAATGCCCGCTGTTCCGCCAGTTGACTCGGTGCCCGCTGTTCCGCCAGTTGACTCGGTGCCCGCAGTCTTGCCAGACGACTCGGTGCCCGCTGTTCCGCCAGTTTGACTCGGTGCCCGCAGTCTTGCCAGACGACTCGGTGCCCGCAGTCTTGCCAGACGACTTGGTGCCCGCTGTTCCGCCAGTTGACTCGATGCCCGCTGTTCCTCCAGGCGACTCGGTTTGCCCGCCAGTCTTGCCAGACGACTCGGTGCCCGCAGTCTTGCCAGACGACTCGGTGCCCGCAGTCTTGCCAGACGACTCGGTGCCCGCAGTCTTGCCAGACGACTCGGTGCCCGCAGTCTTGCCAGACGACTCGGTGCCCGCAGTCTTGCCAGACGACTCGGTGCCCACTGTCGTGCCTGGTGACTCGGTGCTCGCCGCTCCGCCTGGGGGCCCGAGACCTGTCGCTCGCTCCGCCTGGGGGTCCGGCGCCCGCCGCTCCGCCTGGGGGCCTGAGACCTGTCGCTCCGCCTGGGAGCCTGAGACCTGCCGCTCCGCCTGGGAGCCTGAGACCTGTCGCTCCGCCTGGGGCCTGAGACCTGTCGCTCCGCCTGGGGGCCTGAGACCTGTCGCTCCGCCTGGGGGCCTGAGACCTGTCGCTCCGCCTGGGGGCCTGAGACCTGTCGCTCCGCCTGGGGCCTGAGACCTGTCGCTCCGCCTGGGGGCCTGAGACCTGTCGCTCCGCCTGGGAGCTGGGAGACCTGAGACCGGTCGCTACCGCCTGGGGGCCTGAGACCTGTCGCTCCGCCTGGGGGCCTGAGACCTGTCGCTCCGCCGCCTGGGGGCCTGAGACCTGTCGCTCCGCCTGGGGGCCTGAGACCTGTCGCTCCGCCTGGGGGCCTGAGACCTGTCGCTCCGCCTGGGGGTCCGGCGCCCGCCCGCTCCGCCTGGGGGCCCGAGACCTGTCGCTCTGCCTGGGGGTCCGGTGCCCGCCGCTCCGCCTGGGGGCCTGAGACCTGTCGCTCCGCCTGGGGGCCCGATGCCTGTCGCCCCGCCTGGGGGCCCGATGCCTGTCGCCCCTCCTGGGGGCCCGATGCCTGTCGCCTTGCCTGGGGGCCCGATGCCCTGTCGCCCTTGCCTGGGGGCCCGATGCCTGTCGCCCCTCCTGGGGGGCCCGATGCCTGTCGCCCCTCCTGGGGGCCCGGCGCCCGCCGCTCCGCTTGGGGGCCCGATGCCTGTCGCCCTGCCTGGGGGCCCGATGCCTGTCGCCCCGCCTGGGGGCCCGGTGCCTGCTGCTTCACCTGGTAATCCGATGTGCCTCTGCCCGGAGTCCAGCCCGATGTGCCTCTGCCCGGAGTCCAGCCCGATGTGCCTCTGCCCGGAGTCCAGCCCGATGTGCCTCAGCCCGGAGTCCAGCCCGGTGTGCCTCTGCCCGGTGTGCCGCTGCCCGGAGTCCTGCCCGGTGTGCCGCTGCCCGGAGTCCTGCCCGGTGTGCCAGTCTTTGATATCCCGCCAGTTACCAGACCCGGGTGGTGGAACATTTTGCCCAGCTAGGACTGTTTGGAGCGTCCTGAGGCCGCTCCTTGAGGGGGGGTACTGTCAGGAATGGACTGGCCAGCAATAGTGGGACTCACCTGCCTTGTGAGCTGCAGTACCAGGGCTGGCCAGCGGTGCTCCCAGCAATCAGAGACTCAACCTTGCAGCCAGTCAAACACCTGGAACTAAATTATACTGGTGTATTTAAGGGACATTCAGACCTGCAGACTCTGCCTTGGTGTTGTGTTTCTCCTGGGCCCTGTTTCCTGTTCCTGTCTGATTCTCTGCTGACCCTGCTCTGATCCCTGGCTTGTCTGACCATTCTTCTGCTCCTGATCCCTGGCTTGTCTGACCATTCTCCTCTGCGTGACCCTCTGTACCTCGCTGTCTGCTACCTGCTGAACCTGGCTTGTGACCCCGACCATTCTCCGCTTGCTCCCCCTGTACCTACCTGCCCGATTGATATTGACCTGGCCTGCCTGACGACGCTTGCATTGTATGTACTGTTATCTGTGGGTGGTTTGGTTTGGTTTTGTTTGCACTGTGTTATGTTTTTAGTATTGCACTGCGTTTATGTTTGTATTGTTAGTGTTAATAAATTATATTGTTTATAACATATCTGAAGCCTGCGTTTCCCTGCGTCAGTCACACACCTCTGGTCATACCTGGGAGCCCTGACAGTATCTATGGATGTTTCCTTCTGCATCATATTTTACTTTAAAAGTCCATTTGCTTCTGATGGTTTTTGCGACCGGGAGGGAGTTCTGTTAGTAACCAAGTTTTATTTTCTTGAAGTGATTTTATTTCTTCTTCAGCTGCTTTCCTCCACTGATCAGCTTCCCTTCTCGGCAAAGTTTCTATGTCTTCCCAGGATGTTGGCTCCTGTGTTTGATGTGTTTTAGCAGCGTATGATAACCTTTCATTGGTCCGCACACATCACTGTGTATCAGTTCCATTGGTTTAATGGTTTTACTCTGACTGGTCTGTGGAAGAGAGGTTCGGGTGGCCTTTGCTTTGATGCAACACGTGCACTTGCTGAGTTTGTGGCAAGGCAATATTTTCATGTCTTCTGATAGACCTCTCTTTGCAAAGTCCTTTATAGCTTCTGGGTTTCGATGCCCCAGTCTTCTATGCCACAGGTGGATGCAATTGTCATGTGGGCTATGAGTTGCCGCATTGGCCTTCTCACTTTCAGTGATGAGTTTTTTTTTTTTTTTTTTTGTGCAGATGTTCATTTAACCTTCCTCTTGCTAGAATTTTCTTTCCATTTTGAATTGTGCATTCATTACCTCTGAACTGGACAGTGAGTCCATTGCTTGCAAGGGTTTTAACTGATAGGAGGCTTCCTTCTAGGCTTGGAACATATAGAATATTCTTTACAAGGATGCTCTGCTTGCCCCCTGATGGTGTTTTGCAGGTCAGAAATCCCTGACCTTTACCTTCCGCTGTAATACTTTTCCCATTTGCTAGGAAGACTTTATCTTTTATACTAAAATCAGTTTCTGTGAAGAATGTCTCATCGCTTGTCATGTGACTTGTTGCCCCTGAATCAATGTACCATCCATGTGAGGTACTATTCTGAGTCACTTTAAAAGTACCACTCCATGATGCACTTTCATTTTTCTTTCATGACCGCTTTAGCTCTTTCTCTTGTGGGTAGCTCCCCGCTTTCGCTGCTCAGCTTTCCAGATTGAACAGTTCTTTTTCAGGTGACCGGCCTTTTTGCAGCGAAAACATACCCTGGTTTCTTTGCTTTGTCTTATGCCTTCATGCACCTTCAGAGCTGCCTCTGGTCTCTCGTTCTCTTCACTATGCAAATTTTCCTTTCTTCTGCTGTATTCATCAATTCATTTTCCCTTAACATATTCTAGCGTCAGTTCAGCTTCCGGTCTAGTTTCTAGAGCATTTATAAGGGCACTGTATGATTCTGGAGAAGGCTGCACAGAAGTATTGAAACAACATGGTTGCTTTTTAAATCTTCACCTATTGCACCCAGCTGGTCCACAATTTCTAGCATAGCATTTACATGTTTCACCCATTTTCTGCCCTTTTTCCAGCCTCATCTTATACAATTTGCGTAGCAGATATAGTTTACTGTTTAGGTTTGCACGTTCATGCAGCTTTTGTAATGCAGTCCACATACCTTTAGCTGTGCTTTCTTTCCTTATATGAATGAGTTGATCGTCCTCCACTAACAGGCTTATGACTGCTTTTGCTTGCCTGTTTTTCCTGTCCCATTCTTTTGGGTTGTCATTGGGTCTGTGTGTATCTAGTACCTGCCACAAGTCATCTTTGGATAACAGCATTTCAAGCTTAAACTTCCACAGCTGGTAGTTGGCATTGTTGAGCTTTGCTATTGTAAACTTCATATCTGAAGCACTTGCCATTTTTCAGTGAATTGGATTGTAAATGCAGCACTTACTTGCTTGTAGTTTTTCCTTTTTCCAGTGTCCTGGAGCTGGGCCCCATAACCTGTTGGTTATGTGTTATAGAAGACACTAGTAGTGATGTGGCAGAAATTCAGGCTTTACTTGTGTGGCTTAAGTTACAAACTGACAGAGCACATTTCAGCAGACAGTTAATAAACATAGAGAGAGTGAGGAACAAACAAGTTTTCAGATATACACAACTAGTAACCTTTAGTGTATAGTGCCATCTACTGGTCAAGTGATATTAACACACAATACTATATATAGAAAGACTCAAATGACTCTCCCCACGGTAATACAGATTCCCCACACCACCTTGCCCTGACCTGTATCCCTTCACCTCCCCTGACCCAACTGTCACCCCACCCCACCCCAACATGCCTCCTGCACTCCTCCTCCTCATTTTCCTCTCCACCATCCCAAAAATCGCCCTCCCTCTACCCGCCTACCCCCCCAAAACAGCTCTACATTGCCCCCCTTCACTACTCCCCTCTCCCCACTACGGCACTCACCACCTCCTCCTCCTGCTACTCCACTCCCCCGTCGACCCACGTGCCACCACTATCAGACCCACACGCTCCTACACTTCCCATCCCCATGCCACCTTCCTCACCCTTCTCCTTCTCCTATCTGCTGGGGACATCTCCCCGAACCCTGGCCCCTCGCCACCTCACCCCTCCTCTAGGGACCCCCCCGCTCCCGCCAGCTGCCGTAACCCCCTCAACCTCATATCTGTCCCCTTCTCCCCGCATCCATCCCCCCTCTCTCGGTTTGCACTCCTGAACGCTGGAGCCGCTCGGTCTGCAACAAACTTACTGCCATCCATGACCTCTATATCTCCAGCTCCCTTAACCTCCTAGCCATCACCGAAACCTGGGTACAGGCCACTGACTATCCACCTCCCTGCGGCACTCTCCTATGGAGGTCTCGTCTGGTCCCATTCTCCAAGACTGAGCGTCACAAAGGTGGTGGGTCCGGCCTGCTCCTATCACCGCTGAGCACCTTCCAGGTCCTCCCCTAATCCTCCCTCCTAACTTTCTCCTCCTTCGAGGCTCACTGCATCCGGCTCCTTCTCAACCCCACCCCCCTAAAGGATCGCAGTGATCTACAGGCCTCCTGGATCCATACCCCGCTTCCTGGATGACTTCGCCTGCCTGGCTT